GAGTTCACCACCAAGCTGATGGTGGCGGAGATCCGGCGGCGTGCCTTCAACGAGAACACAGCACTGGCCAGCTGCGAGATCATCAGGTGAGTCTGATTATCTTCATGTGGTCGTCAGGTGAGTCAGGAATCGTCAATGTCGGTGCTGGCCAGCTGCAAGATCATCAGGTGAGTGTCAGTCGGCCGGAGAACACAGCGCTGGCCAGCTGCGAGAACATTATGTGAGTGTCAGCCGGCCGGAGAGTACAGCGGCTGGCCAGCTGCGAGATCATTATGTGAGTGTCAGTCGGCCGGAGAACACAGCGCTGGCCAGCTACGAGGTCATCAGGTGAGTGTCAGCCGGCCGGAGGGGATGCGGCGCTGGACGCGAGGCCGCCGCGGCGCTGGAGCGCGCTGCTCGGCTGGCCGGCGGGCTGTGCGGCGAGCCGTGCCGTGTGTGTAGTGGGGCGTGAGCGGTGAGTGGTCGATGTCGGCGTGCGGGTTACAGCTGTGGTCCATCGCACACGCGGCTCTGGCTTTCGGCGTGGCCGCCTGTCACGCTGGTTGGCGTGGTTGCGCCGGTGGCTGGCAGACGCTGTATGCAGGACGCGGGCCCTGAGCCCCCGTCCTTAAACCCCGCGATCAGCCGATGCCTCGGGGATGCGCCTCGCTCGGTTGTCTTGCCAGCTGACGGACACAGCCCCGTGGTCGCCGCAATGCGGCTGGCGCCGTCGCCATCAACGCATCGTCTCGCTTGAACTGGCCACCGGCGGCGGGTGGGGGGGGGCCCGTCGGTCGGCCTGGGACCGACGCATCACGCCGCCGTCAGCTACCTGGAGCTGGGCGGCGCCGAGGAGACTTCCAGTGGCTGGACGCTGCTCAACACGCTCACCCTGCTGAGCTCGGCCGGACCCTCCGTCGTTCAGGTCAGGCGCGTCCGCTGCTGCTGCGGCTGCGAGGGTTTGGAGGGAGGGGGGGGGGGATACGGTGGAGTTTTTGGTCGATTATTTCCGCACTAAGCTCACAAGCGCCATGTCAGTACGTAGGAGTGGCGGGAAGGGTGTGAGCCGCGTATTAAGTCGTCACGTTTCACCCTCGCTGTTTGTGTGCGGCGTGCGGTCGCGGTCGCGCCGCGTGGAGACCGTTGGACGTCGGACAGGGTCGGTTGGCATCGGGCGGCCGGCTGCCGTCGTGTTCGGGGTGTGCGGCTCGTTGCGTGAGATGATCAGATGCTGGGCATGATGCAGACGCTGTGTAGGGCCAGCCATTGATCACCCATGGGGCTGCCCACTGGTTTGATTCAGTACCGTCGCGGATCATGCGCCGTTGAAAAGGCGCCCCGAAATGTCACGCCCCTCTTGGTTGCCTCTGAGCTAGCCTTGATAAATTGGTTTAATCCACATTTCACGCCGGCTGTGGCCCATGTCAAGCCATTGTAAGCTAGCGAAATGTGAATATCGTGCTGAGACTTGCGGATTCTGAGCGTATGCTCTGCTCGCAGACTTTGGTGCAGAGAGTTTCCTTCGCTCTTTATTCACGTGTCGAAGAGGCGTAATAACCAGAGGGTGAGAGCGTGGTTATCCCAATTGGGGGGCCGGGTTCAGATCACGGTCTCACCATCGCCCTTGAGCATCAATGTGCAGTCGCTGGCGCTCCGTAAAAGGCCGTGACGACGTGTGGCGTGTTTCGGTTAAAAAGAGACATAATTCACGTATCGATTAGCCCGGCTTGATCTCAGCTGAGTGTCGCCGCACGGCCATGCCGTCGTGACGTCACGTTGTGTTGAGCCGTGCGCCTGCGGCCGCGCCTCAGGCGATGGTGGCCGCCGCCCTGCCGTCCACGCTGGTCAAGTGTCTGTACCTGTTCTTCGACCTGCCCGAGCTGGGCACGGACGTGGCCGCCGGCACCGAGGTCACGCCCCACGAGAGTCGCGCCCTCCTGCAGAAGGTGTTTGTCCAGGTGAGGCCGACTCCTCTAGTGATTGTCTTGCCTAGCCCCCCCCCCCCCCCCCCCACCTTCCTCCACACCCCCTCCGCGAGGAGGTGTAGCTTCAGATGAAGTGTCCGAACCTGTATATATTTTTTTTTTGTAATTTATGGAGTGCACGTGTGCACAGCGTTTTCACAACGATGTCTGGGAACCTTTTCAGCCTATGCCCTGCCTTCGATGATTCAACTACGACCCTTCTCATGAATTTTAACCATCCGGAGCTCCAAGGTTATTTGTGTTATGTCGTGGCTTGTCAAGCTGATGAGGGTATCAAATGATGTAGTCATTGACGTTATGTATTTCAGTAGCTAGCTTGAGAAAAATTTCATCAATGAACCTGTTGTATCTTGCTCGTTTTAGACCATGATGGAATCAAACTGATTTTTGAATGCGTATTGTCCGGATATTTTGATTGGATGAATATCTGGGATCGGGGCTCATGCCAAACAGTGTGTGCTGTATGGGGCCCAGACCCCCCCCCCCCCCCCCACACACACACACCACCACCCGATCGATCAGATCAGATCCAAAATTCGAGGTCAGCGTCATAACTTCGCGGCGAATGCTTAGCGTGTCGCGTCGCCCGACACGGTCCGTCCTGCCCTCTGACGTCACTTGACCTTTGGCGCGGCCGCTGCCACCGTATCTGACCTCGAGCGGACGTCACCGGCCGCGGACCACCCTAGCTTATGAAAAATAGCGATTGCTGAGTGACACGCGTCCACCCACCCCACCGGGAGTGGGGTGGGAGGCAAGCGTCGTAACCGACCGAACGACGGGAGTGGACAAACGGGGGCGATGTGTGCGTGTGAATCAGCACAGTATCCAAATGACATGTGTTTGTAATGAAAGCCAGTACTAGGAAGCAGTGGACGTCCGCTTGCAAGCAAGCGTAAGTGCAAGCAGATTAAGGTCAAAGCGTTTTGTGGTCGACATCAAAGGAACGTCACGTGTCCGGTTGTTTTTAGCGGACAGTCCGCCTACGCGAGCGGTCCCAGTGTACGTCAGACTGACGTCACGCGTCGGTCCTGTTTCAGCTGATGAGCCGGCTGTGCAGCAGCGCTTGTGCGGCGGGACGGAGCTGGCGCGCCGCGACGATCTGAGCCTGCTCTTCTCGGCCATGACGTCGCCGTGTCCGCCGCACAACGTCAGCTGGCGCAAGTCGGCCAGCGAGGTGCTGATGGCGCTCAGCAGGAGCGGGCTCAGCGGTCAACACCCGTCACCTACATACACAGTACGGGCCTGGCCTGGGCTGGGGCTGGGCTGGGCCGGGCCGGGCTGGGCTGGGCCGTGCCGTGCCGTGCCGTGCCGTGCCGTGCCGTGCCGTGCCGTGCCGTTGCCGTGCCGTGCCGTGCCGTGCCGTGCCGTGCCGGGCCAGGCCGGGCCGGGCCGGGCAGGGCCTGGCCGGGCCGGGCCGTGCCGGGCCGTGCCGTGCCGTGCCGGGGCTGAGCTGAGCTGAGCTGAGCTGCCAACTCAGCGCCGTGCCGTCGGCGGCCGAGGACGTCTGCCGGGGCTGCTAGCTTCAGCAAAGGCTTTCCATTGTTGCTTCGAAGGAAATTTTGAAGGTGGCTTGTTCAATTGCGTTTCCCTGTCGTGACGACAGCGACAAATGTGCGGTAACTGTATGCTGTACCAGCCCAGGCCTGGTTTTGTCGTAAAAGTGCTGGCGGCACAATCTGGCAGCGTACATGAAGACGGCACCTTGAAACCAGGCTCCGTGTGTGACACCCAGGCTGAGATGCATGACCAAGGACAGTGAGGCGGAAACTTGGAGCGTTTTAGAACTTCGGAGGGTCGGACGTGCCCGGCAGGTGTTTGTTATCGCTTGATCGCCACTGACCATGAAACCTGAATGGTGCCTGCTTGTGTGTCGAAATAAATCCACCCACAGCGTAGCCTGCGTGGGGGATGCGAGCGTTGTTGCCGCGGCTGATCGCTCGCCCTTCGTTCGCCAGACAACGGCTGCGTGAGCCTGTGCGTGGAGAACATGCGCTCGGCAGAGGACATGCCGCCGCTGGAGATGGTCGAGATGTTCGTCAGCCTCTTCTGCTTCCTGAAGGACTCGGCCGACGTGTCGGAGGTGCTGCTGGCCGACCTCCGCTCCAGCCAGGGCTACATCTTTCTCGCCGAGTTCCTGCTGAGGTGGGTCGTTGTGGTGGGCCCCTGTGCCCGGCCACCGCGCGCTCTGGGCGGTGTCGCTGGGGCTGGCCGGCAACGCAAGCTTATCTGTGCGTTACGTGGTGTGAGCAATCATAGAGCGGGCTACGTGAGAAAGACGTGCCGATGTTTTGATACGTGAGACGGTGAGACGTTGTACGTTGAGTTGGAATATTGTAGGTAAATGGAACCGTTCACGTGATGCATGCGTTTGAAATACGTGCGTGTAAACTGCGTGTGTCAAACCACGTAACATGGCGACCATGAGACTAGATTTGGATCACGTTGATAGTTGAGCGCAGAAAACGCCAGACTAGCATACCCCGTTGCTTGGAGATACCTGACGGTGCGGGTCAAGTGGGTCAGGTCAGTTTGAGGTCAGGCGGGTCGGGCTTGCTGAGATCAAGTGGGTCAGGTCAGCTGAGGTCAGACAGATCAGGCCAGCTGGTCAGGCAGGTTAGGTCAGCCGAGGTCAGGCAGGTCAGGCCATCCATGGTCAGACAAATAAGGTCAGCTGAAGTCAGGCAGGTCAGGTCAGCTGAGGTCAGGCAGGTCAGGTCAACTGAGGTCAGGCAGGTCAGGTCAGGTGGGTCAGGTTAGCTGAGGTCAGGTGGGTCAGGTCATCTGAGGTCAGGCAGGTTAGGTCAGTTGAGGTCAGGTGGGTCAGGTCAGCTGAGGTCAGGTGGATCAGGTCAGCTGAGGTCAGGTGGGTCAGGTCAGCTGAGGTCAGGTGGGTCAGGTCAGCTGAGGTCAGGTGAATCATGTCAGCTGAGGTCAGGTGGGTTAGATCACCTTAGGTCAGGTGGGTTAGATCACCTTAGGTCAGGTCAGCTGAGGTCAGGCAGGTCAGGTCGACTGAGGTCAGGCAGGTCAGGCCAGTGGAGGTCAGGTGGGTCAAGTCACCTGAGGTCAGGCGGGTCAGGAAGCGCAGGTGCGGCGCCACCCAGCGCAGCAGAGCCCCTGATCTTGGACCGTCACCTGAGCGTCTTCAACCTCCAGGTTGGAGCAGGACGGCCGGCCGGAGTCGGCAGGACGCGGCGCGTAACCTGGTGCTGCTGATCGCCTCGCTGGCCATGTGCGGACACACCGAGCTGCAGCCGTCGCAGGGCGGCCGCTGGCACGCCCTTCAAGCTATCCGGCTTCGCTGGTGCCGCAGCCGTCCGGACTCGGTGAGCGGCGCGCCGCTGGTCCGTCCCGTTCCGTCCGTACCGTCCGTCGTCCACGTTCCGTTTCCGTTCCGTACCGTCCGTCCCTTTCCGTTCCGTTCCGTCCCGTACTCCGTTCCGTTCCGTTCCGTCCCCGTTCCGTTCCGTTCCGTTCCGTTCCGTCCCGTCCCATTCCGTCCGTTCCGTCCGTTCCGTTCCGCCCGTCCTCGTTCCGTCGTCCGTCCCGTCCCGTCCCGTCCCGTCCCGTCCGTCCCGTCCGTCCCGTCGTTCCGTCCCGTCCCGTCCCGTCCCGTCCGTCCCGTCCCGTCCCGTTCCGTTCCGTCCGTCCCGTCCGTCCCGTCCCGTCCCGTCCGTTCCGTCCGTCCTGTCCCGTTCCCCGTTCCGTTCCGTTCCGTTCCGTCCGTTCGTTCCGTCCGTCCCGTCCGTTCCGTCCCGTTCCCGTCCCGTCCCGTCCGTCCGTCCCGTCCCGTTCCGTTCCGTTCAGTTCCGTCCCGTTCCGTCCAGCCCAGCCCCTGCACCCGCCCCGCCCCGCCGGCCCGTGTACGCTCCTCTGGAGACCTCCGGGCGCACTAGAAACATAAACATCGGGAGTCTTGGTGGCTGGACCCAAATGTTCCACAATTCTTGGCGAAGAATATTGGCAAGCTGCAAAGCGAGCAGAAGTTCTGGCCTGCCAAAACTTGGAATAGCGGAGTACAAACAACAGCCTTACAAACATCCACATGCCTTTAAAACTTCGACATCCTACGTTTCGTTGAGAACAAAAATACACACAAAGTCATAATTTTTGCAGAAAATGATATGGCACAGATACTGTTGGATGCGCATAGGGGCGCCACGTGCTCTCGCTTGCGATTGCCTCAGCGGTTCAGCGCCATTCACCGCCCCCCCCCCCCCCCCACCTCCCCACCGTCCACAGGCACTAGCGTGCGGAATGTGAACGCCTTCCAAGTGCTGCAGACGGTGTTCTTGCGGGCCAGCTCGGGCACGCTGTGCTGCGTCATTCTGGACACCATCTCCAGGTGAGAAATGAGGTCTCCAGATGAGAGGTGAGGTCTCCAGATGATAGACCAGATCTCCACGGGAGAGATCAGATCCTCAGGCAAGAGATGAGATCTGCAGATGAGGGGCCAGATCTCCGGATGAGAGATCATATCTCCAGATAAGAGATGAGAACTCCAGATGAGAGATGAGATCTTCAGGTAAGAGATGAGAGGTCTTCAGGTTCGGGCCCAGCCAGTGCCGTGGTCGGCCCCGCAGTCGAGGGCATTGTTCAGTCACAGACAGGGGATTCCTGGGGGGGGGGGGGGGGGAGGGGGTCAAAGGAGCCAGCTGTGCTGCTCACAGGAGATTGTGTGTTTTCAGCTTCAGTCTATGATGTAGATTGTAAAATCGTCTTGATTTCAAAACGTATTCCTGTTATGTTTTTGGGGATGCTAGTGCTTTCCCGCCTTTGACTAGCTGCTCTAAAACGATTATTTTGTCCTATTTTCCTTATATATCCTGATGCTCATTCTCCCCTGTCTTTGCGTGTTTGACCTGATGTTTCGCCTGTCCACGGCTCCTTTGTGTCCCGACCACTCTGCCAGCGACGTCTGCCCATGGGGCTACCACCGCGGTCGACACGTCTGTGGCATGCCGGCTGCGGTCTGACGCCCGTCTGTAGCTGCCGGCTGTGTCTGACACCCGTCTGTGGCTGGGCTGTGCCTAATGCCCGTCTGTCGCTGTCGACTGTGTCTGACACCCGTCTGTGGCTGCCGGCTGCGTCTGAAACCGGTCTGTGGCTGCCGGCTGCGTCTCACATCCGTCGGTGGCTGTCGGCTGCGTTTTTACACGGGTCTTTGGCTACCGGCCGCGTCTGACGCCCGTCTGTGGCTGCCAGCTGCGTCTGGCACCCGTCTGTCGCTGTCGACTGTGTCTGACACCCGTCTTTGGCTGCTGGCTGCGTCTGGCGCCCGTCCGTGGCTGCCGGCTGCGTCTGAGGCCCGTTTGTCGCTGTCGACTGTGTCTGACACCCGTCTTTGGCTGTGGACTGTGTCTGACACCCGTCTGTGGCTGCCGGTTGCGTCTGACGCCCTTCTGTGGCTGCCGGCCGCGTGTGACACCCGTCTGTGGCTGCCGGCTGCGTCTGACACCCGTCTGTGGCTGCCCGGCCTGCCGTCCTAGACACACCCGTGTAGTGGCTGCCGGCTATGTCTGAGCTAGCCTGCTCTGGGGATCGTTGGGGCAGCGTGTACCAACGCCGACTGTGCCAACTACTTTATCTTGGAGAGCCAGCACACCATCTCACAGTTCGCCGAGAAAATCCACCAGAAGCCCAAGGAGGCGCAGGCATGTCCAAGTCCCGGGCGTAGCAAAAAAAAAGGCTCGCAAGGGCCGTGTTGTTACGTGAAGTCTGTCAGTTGGCGTTTGATGCCTTGGTGACGACTAGATCGCATCTTAAATTAGCTGCTTGTTTACTGTAGTGTAATGGTTGTTGGCTTGAAATGAGTTGTATGCTCCCAGGTGCTTTAAAACGCGTCTTAGATGCCCTTCACTGTCCATGTTTAATTTAGCATATTACCGAATGCATATGATAGTAACGGTTGACCGTTTTTGTGCGGTCAACCGTTACTATTCCCGGTCAACCGTTAATGCCCCAACTCCGTGGTATTTATGACATTTCGACGTAATTTCATCTCATGCTTAAATTGCCAGACTCGTAAGAGACCCTTGACAAATTCTTCCAAGATGTGGGTGTTCCAGCTTCCCCTATCATAAGACATGGCTTGTGCTTCCTCAGGACAAGTTCTTCCAGCTGCTGGAGTTCGTGGTGTTCCAGCTGAACTATGTGCCGGTCAAGGAGCTGATCTCCTGCAGTATCCTGCTGAAGTCGCACGTGTCGCTGCCCTGCAGCCAGCGTTGCGTCGAGTCGTTGCTCTCCATACTCAGGTAACAGCTGCAGCACCAGAGGAGAGTAGCAGCCAGTGGTGTAATGGATCCCTGTCTGAGATAACAGCTGCAGCACCAGGGGAGAATAATGGTCCAGTAATATGCGAGGACAGGTCCAGCACCCAACGCTGGAGGGGACATGCTCTTAATATCACGTCATTCCCCGTACACTAAGCCGAGGTGTGCAAAGGATGCCAGATTTCTAGCTGTGGGTCGCGCCCCTACCTCGTTACCTCCTCCTCCTCCTCCTGACGAGACCACGCCCGGCGGTGCGTGGACAAGTAGTCAGCCGGTCGTAATCCACGGGTGCGGGGCCCGGCCCAGTCCTCGCTGAGGGCAGCCGCTGCAGACCCGCGGGCCAGGGAGCGGGAGGGCGAGGCGGCTGGGGTGCCCCGCGACCTCCCGCCGCCGTCCGTGGGCCGGCCAGCTCCGGCGGTGGTCCTGGGCTGGGTGGGCCGTCCGCGGTCGTGATCCCCGGCCGTCGCTGGCTGGGTGCTCGGCGCGACCGGTGGCGTCGCACGTGCCATCGGCCGCCATCGCTCTGGTGGTGTTCAGTGTGCGCGCGATGGGGTCATGGTAGCCTGGCCGCCACACTAGGGGCCTGTGAGTCCGGTTAGCTGCCGCCATGGCGGCTGGTCGATCTAAACTTTGACCCGCAGTGCTCTTGGGGTGAAACGCAGTCAGTAATGTACCATGTCTCATCCATGATGATCCCACCGCAGTGCCGGGTCACCGCCCCTAAGTGTTATGCCCTGCAGCGAACAGCCCTCGAGGCTTCTCATCCTGTTTCGGATAGGATCTGGGTCAGATGCCGCTAGAGAGCAGCCCTCGAGAGCCCGCTCATCGTTATTCGACGAGGTCCTGGGTCGCAGAGTCAAGGATACGCTAGAGAGTAGTCCCCGAGACCGCTCATCCTGTTCGGGCAAAGCTCTGGGTACAGATGCCGCCAGGAGAGTAGTCCCCGAGGACACCTTATCCTATTCGGGACGAGGTCTGGGTCAGATACCGCTAGAGAAGTAGTACGCGAGACCGCTCATCCTGTTCGGACGAGCTACTGGGGTCAGATAAACCGCTAGAAGAGCAGTCCCCGAGGAACCCCTCATCCTGTTCGGACGAGCTCCAGGTCAGGTACCGCCCAGTCCACTTTGTGCACAGCTCTTGGATCTCCCGTAGGTGTGTTGACGGATTCGTGCTTCTCATTATTCTGATGCACAGCTCAGCTTGGTCACTCACGTGGCGCACGAAGACACAATGATCGGAACTCGAGCATATTGAGTACGAGTGATCGCATTTCCGTCTGCGCGGACCCGCGAACGCCTTATTAAATGCTCGCATAATACCGATTTGCATGTTAAAGTGCTGGTAGCCGCCGAGCTATCGATCACGTCATTACAGCAATCACGGCTCAACAAACAAACCGGCGCGGATAATATGAGCACGGCGGGTCGAGTCAAGTCCTTTCCGCTGAAGCGCTGCTCAGGCCTTGCTTCAGGCCGCCTGTTGACCTATGTGACCTTTGAAGTGTATAACCTTTGACCTGTGTGACCTTTGAGCCGTGTGACCTTTGACTTGTGTGACCTTTGACTTGTGATATTTGACCTGTGTAACATTTGACCCGTGTGATATTTGATCTGTACCGTTGATCTGTGTAACCTCTGCGACCTTTGACCCATGTGACCTACGCGATCTTTGACCCACGTGACCTTTGACCAGTGTGACCTTGTGCGACCTTTGAACTTTGTAACGTTTGACATGTGTGACATTTGACTTTGTAGCCTTTTGACTTGTGTAACATTTGGCCTCTGATATTTGATCTGTGTGACCTTTGACCTGTGCGACCTTTGACCTATGCGATCTTTGACCCATGTGACCTGAACGGCAGGTTCAGCCCGCTGTTCAAGGACGTGTTCCGAGAGGTGGGCATCCTGGAGGTGTTCGTGCAGTGTCTGGCGCGCTACGCCGACCTGCTCAAGTCGCAGCAGCAGACCGAGGAGGACGGAGACGGTGAGGAGGAGGCGGCTGTGCGGATGCTGGCGGATGGGGGGGGGGGGGGGCGGGAGGGGGAGCAAGAGGATGGGGACAAGCGGAGTGGGCGAAGGAGGAGAAGATGACAATGGGGGAGGAGGAAAATGAGGGCGTGGCAAGACAGCTGGACGGAAATGGGAGTAATGAACGGATAAGGGAACGATGCAAGGACATGTGGCCAGATGGCCGTGTTGGGGCTTTTTTTCATCCAGGGCGTACTCCTGTCATTTACACTTACATGCTGTTACATGCTGACATTCTCGGCGTACGTTTGACTGCCCCCTCCCCTCCCCCCTCCCCCACGACCACTGTCTCCCCCGCGTACACCTCGTATCTCTACACCTCTCCTTGTCTCGCTGTGCACTGTTGATCGTCGTCATATCCCCACGGTGTTCTCACCGTCGCTGCGTCTCCCCGGTGTACCGCCGGTCATCGCCCCGTCTTCCCGATGCACCGCTGACGGCCCGCTGCCCCGTCTCCCGGCGTTACCGCTGACGGCCCTCCGCCCCGTCTCCCCGGTGTACCGCTGGCAGCCACCGCCCCGTCTCCTCGGTGTAGCGCTGACGGCGGCCGCCCCGTCTCCCCGGTGTGCCGCTGACGGCCGCTGCCCCCGTCTCCCCGGCGTACCGCTGACGGCCTCCGCCCCGTCTTCCCGGTATGCCACTGACGGCCCCCGCCCTGTCCTCGCCAGTGTATGATCTACCTGAGCCGCAGTCGGCACTGGGCCGCCGCGTCATGGAGACCGTCTCGGTGCTGCTGGCCGGCAGCGCCGCCAACGCCGCCGTCTTCCGCGAGTCCGGCGGCTCCCAGCGCGTCCACGAGATGATCGTGTACCCGGACTGTTCCCAGCTGGCGCTCGGTACGTGCTCGGACCAGAGGCACGGGGCACCGGGGTGGGGTGCCGGGGCACCGAGGTGAGGTGGCGTCATGTGATGGTTCACCCCAACCGCTCTGGCTTTGGGTATTGACTGGTATGGGTAAGCGGGGCTTCTCTTTTGTAGCTGAGTTTGTGTACCCGTTTACAGGCTGTGTCGGGTGCTTTCCGTCGTGTGATAAGGGGAGCTATTGCGCGTTTAGGCCGACCAACAGACCCGCCTTATACGGCACGCAGTGATTGGGGCATACGCTGAAGCCGTTACGAACAGACAGTTTTCCAGTCAGGAGTGAATGGGGCTTTCAAGACGCACATTTCGTGGAATGTTTTTCAACCATTGGCGCCGTGCATTAGATGTATGACGGGTTTCGCCCGCGCTTGCCCCACCACGTGACCGGGGACCACGTGCTGGGGCGCGTCCGTCGGCAGGCATTCTGCAGCAGCTGATGCTGTGCGCGGGCGGCGAGGACGAGATGGGCACGGTGCTCGCCTTCATGAACAACGCCCCGTTCAGCCAGATCGGTCTCAAGATCGACATACTGAAGGTGATCCCGGTGGTGCGGGCCGGGCAGGGCGCCGCCGGCCGACGCCGGCGCCGCCGCTGTAGACGGCGTTGGAGCTGAAGTTGGATGTGGATATTGGACTGGGAGTGGTGCAGTGTCTGCTGTCGGGTCAGAGCGATTCGAGCCTTCGCGCTGTCAGTTTTCGTATGATGTAGGCGACTCGCAGGTCACTCCGGTAGAATGTTATGCTCGTGATCGGTGGCTGGTGCCCGCCGTCGGTGATTGTTGACTGGCTGACTGGTGCCCGCCGTCGGTGGTCGGTGTCTGGTGCCCGCCGTCGGTGATCGGTGACTGGTGCCCGCCGTCGGTGATCGTTGACTGGTGCCGGCCGTCGGTGACCGGCGACTGGTGCCCGCCGTCGATGATCGGTGGCTGATGCCCGCCGTCGATGATCGGTGACTGGTGCCCGCCGTCAATGATCGGTGGCAGGTGCCCGCTGTCGGTGATCACTGACTGGTGCCCGCCGTCGGTGATCGGTGACTGTGCCCGCCGTCGGCGATCGGTGACTGGTGCCCGCCGTCGGTGATCACTGACTGGTGCCCGCCGTTGGTGATCGGTGACTGGTGCCCGCCATCAATGATCGGTGACTGGTGCCCGCCGTCGGTGATCGGTGACTGGTACCCGCCGTCGGTGATCGGTGACTGGTGCCCGCCGTCGGTGGTCGGTGTCTGGTACCCGCCGTCGGTGATCGGTGACTGGTGCCCGCCGTCGGTGATCGGTGACTGGTGCCCGCCGTCGGTGATCGGTGACTGGTGCCCGCCGTCGGTGATCGGTGACTGGTGCCCGCCGTCGGCCTGAGCGCCGGAGCAGGCGACCTCTTCTCCTCCTCCGTCAGACGGAAAACATTGCCACGGGCATACAGCATCGCGTCGCACAACTCTTGATATCCCTCTGTGTTATCTGTTGATGTGCTGGTGTACGAATATCATCCGGTTCAGATCGACCGCCGGGCTGGGGCCAATGTCAGGGTCGGCACAACAAGCCGTGGTTCACCAGAGCTCAGATCCCAGCGCCTTTGAAGCGAACGCTCCGGTCGACCACGTGCAGTATTGGTACTGCGCTCGTTGACGAGGTGTGGTCCGGTGCCGAGGCCGCGTGCGGTGTCGGCGCGCGACGCTGACGCCCTCGGGCCGTGCCGACAGTCGCTGCTCGGCTGCCTGCGCGACTCGCACCGCACGCGCACCATGTTTCCGCAGGTGGGCTGGCTTCGTGTACCGTCATGGTCCGGTGCTGGTGGTCCGCTGGAGGGCTGCATGAGCGATGGTGGCCGGCCGCCGCCCTGGGCCAGGTACGTCCGCCATGCCGGCCGCGCCCCAGCCGGCCACGGCTGGCTCGTCACGCTCCTGACCTAGCGACGTGAATGACTGCGGTCTATGGGACGTTGTGCCGTGGTAACGGAGACGGCTGGTGATGCGGCGGATGTGGGTAGAGCTGCCCTGTAGTGCCATGCTACGTCAGGGAGGGTATCGCCGGTGTTGGCGGCAGTACAGCTTCAGTTTATTGTTCGGCTACTTTTAATCAATTTTTTGACAAGTTGCATGTTCATGAAGTCGGACAACGCATATATGTCAACTATTAAGCTTTGGGAGTTGTCAGTGTCGGTGTGCCGACCGCGCCGGCCAGGGCCTGGCGTTTCTCTGACGCCCTCTCTGTGCCGCCCCTCAGCCATCCCTCGGCAGACCATGCTCTCGCTGGTCCACCTGGCGTTCAACACGCTCACCGTGGCCATGCGCTACGAGCCGGCCAACGCCAAGTTCTTCCAGCTGGAGGTGGGTTCGAGACCGCTCGCGGCCAGAGATTTTGCAGTTATCGTTTTGTGGCACTGAAGCCGATGTCGGTGCTGGTGGCGGTTTCAATATACAGCCAACGCATGGCTTGGTCGATTGGGCGTTGTGGGCGTGCGTATGGTGGCTATGACGTTCACATGCAGTGTTAGTTGTGTTAGTATGCTTTTAACAATCTTTGGATTGTTGTGGGCATGGCTTGAAACGTGATCTTCCGCAGGTGCCAGCCAAAATTAGTATGTATTAGGCACCAAATGTCCGGGGCATTCTGCGCACCCAAAGCCCGTCGTCATCATCAAAAGCAGCACGCATCTCACCTGACGCGCTTCGCGACATTGACACGTGACGTTACGTCATGTCACGTGACCCCCTATCCGGCGTGCCGTCTGGCACCGCGCCAGCTGACCTCTGACCCGGGCCGCGCCGTCGCCGGCAGATCTGCGGCACCAGCCTGCTGGACACGGCGCGGCTGCTGGGCTGCTTCGGCGACGCCGCTCAGCTGGGGCCGATCGAGTTCGAGTACCAGCACACGAGGAGCACACCTTCCAGGGCATCTTCACGTCGGACGTGACGGCCGCCAGGTGGGTGAGCCGGGCGGACGGCGGACGGCACCGCGCGCCAGCTGGGAGGTCTGCTCCACTGGCGCCGCCGGTGGGCCGCCCGCCGGCAGCGGAGGCCGGCCCGGGCCGTTGAAACTGCGCTCGCCGGTGTGCCATGGGTCAGATGCTGACGTCGTGGCGTGACCTGTTTGCATCCCAGTTGCTGTAGGTCATCGAGTGGGCGCGTTATGACCGGGGCAGTCGGCGCGGCAAAGGTCGAAGTCATCGCGATCATCATCACGTAGTTTACGAAGTAAGGATGAAGCTGTGAGGGCCTGCGAGCAGTACAGCCCGCACCAAGGGCGATCCACGTCAGGCGCAAAACTGAGACAGCAACCGGCGTGCCTATCAGGTGTGATGGATGGTTGGCACGGACTGGTGCCGCGAGCAGGCCCCCGTTCCGGGAGCTCCTGTCGGTTCGAGCCCGCCGCCGCCCACCCGACTAACGGCCCCCGTGGCGGCGGCGCCCGCAGCCTCCCGCCGAACGTGCCGGCCAGCCTGAGCTACGCCTGCATCGTGCTGCGCCTGCTGTACGACATGGCGCTGGACAGCTTCGACAAGCCGGGCATGGCGGCCGGCGTGGCGGCCGGCAGCGCGCGCCGACAGCAGGAGGCGCGGGTGAGGGCCGGCCCCGCGAGGCGGCGCGGGCGGCCGCGCTGAGCGGCGGGCGGGGCGTGTGCTGTGGTCGCCGTGTGTGCTGTATCAGTACTCGGGGAGGATACGGATCTAGCGCGGTGCGCGCGGCGATCGGCTGCTGACTTAGCGACGCGGCAGGGCTGTCAGGCATGCTGTGTGGTCTGCAGGTGACGCGGCAGGGCTGTCAGGCGTGCTGTGTGGTCTGCAGGAGGGGCAGGGCGTTGGAGAGCCTGCTGAGATCATGGGGTTGGAGAGCCTGCTGAGATCATGGGGTTGGAGAGCCTGCTGAGATCATGGG